CTGAAACCTACAGTTTAGAATAGAACGACCAAGGTAAGCGGCACTTTGAGCTGATCATGACGGCCAAGACCATTCTTGGTAACTCGTAATACCAAAAGACCCGCGCTAAACGCTAGAAGGGGGAGTGTCCCATTGGAGAGTGCCATAACGAAATAACCACATCATAGTAAGTTGATGGTTTTCTCTAGCCTATTTCGCTGTCGTTCCAAAATTCGACACCATATCAAACCATCACCTCTTCCATACAAGAATTCGGTTTGCGCGCAAGCGAGAAAAAACCGGCAAAATTCAAAGAACAAAGTCCCAAAACCACCATGGAAGAATATGTATTCATTAAAATAGTCGGCTACTGGGCGGATGCCGTTCTTGAAAATATCGACGAGAAAAACGATCAGCTTTCGGTGATCTATGAAAGCTGGGACTTCGAAAACCACCAATAGACGTCTGTCTCCAGAGCACTCGAGCTGTTACGCCAGCGCGGAATCGCACGAGCTGCAGGCAACCGCGAACTAACGTCCGAACTTGCGAAGCAATACAGAGATGCGATAAAAGATCTTAGGGAGAGAAGAGCAGCAGTAATGGGCAAAGCTGCAGAGGCTGAGAAAAAAATTTGCAAAGCCCACCAAGGCTTCGCCAATTACAAGACCAAGATGAATGCACTCCGACGTCCAGACAGAACAGTTACTGCGTCCAGAAAGGCAATGGAGAAAATCATTCACGAATTCTACTCGGATCTCTTCGATAGCCACGTCCACCTTCCATCATATAAAATAAAGGAGCATGGATATGTTGTACTACCGGTTCTGCCTTCCGAAATCCGACATGCCATTTCGTTGATAAAGAATCGAACAAAACAAAGTTCAGACAGAAGAATCTTTCACTAATCTTCATAAAACCTCTGGATATCCTCACCACATTTTACCTGCCTGAGTGGAAGGTTTCTGCTCAGTGAAAGACCAGAAAGACTGTGGTATTGTTCAAAAAGACTAGCTTCAACGATACCGGGACCATCGCCCAATCTGCCCACTGTTTGTGGTCTACAAACTTTTCACTCGAGTCATCCTGAACAGGATTGGCAGAACACTAGACGAAGGACAGCCATTTGAGCCAGACAGGTTTTCGAAAAGGATTCAGAACGGCGTACCAAATCTATACGATAACAAGACTCAGTGAAGTATCGAGAGAGCATAAGAGAACGCTCTATCCCACTTTCATCGATTTAAAGAAGGCTTTTGACCCAGTTAAGATGGAAGCAGTGATGGAAGTCCTGGACAGTCAGGAAGTGCGTACTCGGCATATAACGATTATTCATGAGGGATATAAAATTTCTACAACCAAAATATCACCATTCCACAACGACAATAGCATCGACGTCAAAGTAAGTGTTAGGCAAGGCGATACCATCTCGCCAAAATTATTCACCGCCACCCTCGAGAGCGTTATGCGAACAATGGAATTGGATAACATGAGAGTGAAAATCGATGGCCGACAATTAAACCATCTTCGCTTTGCATGACATTGTCCTTATAACATCAAACATTAGCCGAGCGGAACGTATGCTTGCCGATTTTGTTAGAGCCTGCGAAAAGTTGGTCTTCGACTAAATCTCACAGAAAGGACGTTCATAAGGAACGGATTGGTTTCGTATGCCCCATTCACGCTCAACGGAACGAATTCCTCCGAATGCTACAGTTTCGTCTATATAGATCGGGAGATCAACATGACGAGCGACTTAGCTCCGGGGTTGAGCAGGAGGAAGCAAGCAGCTTGGAGAGCTTTCAAGAACGTCGAGGATGTACTGAAGAAAACAAAGGACAACCGAATTTGGGTCCATCTTTTCGATTCCACAATTATTCCTCCCTCAGCGTATGCGTCAAAAACCTCATCGCTGTGTAAGCAGGATAGAAAATCATGCTGTTATTGAATACGCAGTCGAAAGAAAGATGCTAGGAGTATCCCATATCACACAAGTTAGGGAAGGGAATCGAAGCTCCGACCTACGTCAATGAACAAAAATCAGAGACTTTGTTCTATGCGCCAAACCGTCGAAGATAGGCTGGGCCAGACACGTAATGCGTATTAACGACAACCAATGGACCAGAGCCGTTAGTAACTGGATTCCTCAGGATATCAAGCGTAATGCAAGAAGACCACCGACCCTGGTCGGTCAGAGTTCTTCACGAAAACCCTAGAAGAAAAGTATGGTGCTCAACGAGTCCCTAGACCGAGGAGAACTCATTGATTTACTCCTACACGCGATAGTGAAAATGAAAGACTTAATAACTCCCGTTCGATTCACTCAACGATCAACACGAGAGCAGGTGATACAGATGACGCTTGTTTCTAGATGGGAAAATCTTCTATATGGCTTAGGTATCAACATATATCTCAGCTGGATATATATAACGTGTCGAACCAAATCCAAATAAGTACAGTTAAACTCAGGTAATTATGGCGCATGCCTGTGATGATAATATTGCAGTGCAGTAGCACGACTATCCCTGGATTTGGTAGAGAATCAACTGAAGCAGGCTCAGACGATATTCATAAGGTAAACTGAGTCCTTAAGCAGCGGTGGCTCCACAAATACGAAAACTCTCGTTGATGACTGGTGCGAATAAACAAATCGAAGGCAATATTGAAATGCCCACACCATGTGATATCGGGTCGTATTAGAAGAAAAGTTCCGAACTTTTTTTTGGAATTCAAACGAATAGACGTTCTAAGAAAAGTTTTAATTGCTACTCAAAACGTGCCCAGATCTCCACTATGATAACCAAAATATGTCGGACAATGTCTTGTCTAAATCTGCTGCATGATGTTGTATATGATGTTCTCAAATCGTTCATTGAAGGATTCCAATGGTAATATATGACCTCGTACAGCTCTTCTAAGTTTTGGCAGCTTATTATAGCTTAAGAGTACGTGTAACGCACTCGTTAGAGGTGCCTTGCAGAATACACGTAGTCATCGGTCCAACCCCGCTGTTCAGGCAAGGCATAGTCTTGTCCCGTCGGGGTCGGAAAACTGGTACAACGAATCCACAGCGAATCCAATCCATAACGAATTGATAAACACCGAAGGCTCTCCTTTATCTCTCAATATAACCCGACTTTATGAGGCTCTCTATAATTGTACTCGCTGGTAATACTTTGAATAATGGTCGAAGAACTGAGGTGGTTTTGACAGTTTCTGGCTGGTGAATAACCATTAGTTTGTTAGACAACTCTAGAATGAATTAAAGCCTTCTTCTGCTGAAAACAACCCGTAACTATCTCATTTGTGGTTTGTACTTACTCGATTTCAACTTTTACTACAAACCACGAAACTTATCCGGAACTTTTTCTCAAACACTCGCACTAATGAGTAATTGAATACCCGAACAAAAAAATGAAATAATGAATATAAGCACAATGGTGCTGAGTATTTGCAAAACTCCGCACACAAGGTGTCTGCAGTGGGGAACGAACGCGCTATTACCCTTTCCGAGTGCTACAGTGTTCACCACCACACCATTCGGATTTAGGCTCCCCAGATCAATCCCGTTAATGGGTCATTGCTGATGGCAGTGATCAACAGAAAACTAGCTGAGAGATAGGCCAAACGAAGGACCCACATGGTGTGGTGGTGAACGCATTATACTCCGGATAGAGTAATAGCGCGTTCGTTCCCCACAACGGGCACCTACGCTCCGAGTTTTGCAAATATCTTAGCACCATTGTGGTCGCATCACATACATGACCCTGCCGTGAAAAATAGTAATGGGCAGTAATTCAAAAAGTTAACATAATGGATATATTCCTGCAACGAGCTTATGCTTAAGCTTTCACGAAGCCATCAAAACATCCTTATATCGTACGAAGGTAACCCTTGTTCGCCCGAACTATGCATTGAAATGCCGTAATCTAAGACATCAGCAAGGCTTCACCAACCGTTGATTCATAGATTTATGCTCTATAAAAAATAATTCTTGGAAAATAACAAAATATACAACCCGTTTAATATTGAAAACAACATAGGAAATATAATAATAAGCAGTAAAAGGTAAAGTGCGAATAAGAAGAGTACAAATAAAGAAATAAAAACCAGGCGAGTGATGTGACCAACCACTGATCGAAGAGGCATCAAAATTCACAGCACATTTAAGCTTAGGGCTGTACCGAAAGTGGAAAACTCAAAAGACTATCGAGATTATAAACTGAGAGGACATCATCTATAACGCAAAAAGGAAATGGACCAGTAAAACTTAAAAACGAATAACAGACGACATTACAAAGCAACTAAATTATCGTAAACAAGTTACCAGCTGTACAAAACCACGCACAGAAGCTCGATATACACAAATAACCTCGATGAATTTGGGAACACGGCAATGCTGATTGGTAGTTCTGTCGGGATCGGAACGCAGTCGACGCCCGGATAGCGTCAGCCGTTAACTCCGACGGTGTCCTAGCCTTTATCAACTCTATTTTTGAAGGTACTACCATGAATATCAGGCTCTTACTACCAGTAATCATTATAAATATGGCAATGCCTATTCCCAATACCTGGACAACCGTACCGCTTTCTTCGCAACACCATCAAACACTAAAAAGAGCTTCGAAAAACTAGTATTTGACACTATTCTCCCACATCTTTTCCCAAACATCACCCTGAAAAGTGTGGCCTGTCGGACAAATACGTATGTTCTTTAGATGAGAGATTTGTGATCAAAAGACTTTCCGTTTTTCCTTCAGGTCACATGAGAAGTGATATTCTACAAGAAAAACTATTCTTGAATGGCTGTTTAACCAGTATCTACTAAACATGCAGATCAACTTGTGTATATTTCGATACGCATTTCTTATTGAATAGTTGTAACTATATAAAGAAGGCCAGCTTGATTCCCCTTAACAGACGTGATACTTTGGAACTGGTGCTTTCCATTCGGTGAGCATCGATTAATTGGCTTATTGCTGACATTGCTTAGAAAGAGACGATGACAACTACTGACAACGGTGTTAGCTTGATCCAGAAAAAATATTGGCCGTCGGAGTGGTAGTTGTAGTGATGTTCTCGTCAGGTTGCGTTGTTTGTGTGGGTACACTTGTCGTGGTAGTATTCGTGCTGGTTTCGGCTATTTCCGGGGACATTTCCTTCGCTTCTAGCGTCTGCACTGTCTCGTCGATTAGTTCCTGAATTAAGGCGGCACTTGTCGGCGAGTTCTCTAAGTATCGTGTCGCTTCTTCGTAAGTCGGTGGTAACTGGTCGTCTACTAAATTGCCTACTGACGTGTAGTTGGGTGGCGGTGTAGCTGGACGTCGTCCACGGCTGGAAAAAGAATACTTTAATTGTAAAGTAAAGGTGGTGAAGCCTACACGAAGTCTATTCACTATGGGGAACTGCAAGACTGTTTCATTTTTGCTGACTTTAGTATGATCTTAGACGAATTTAGTGGTCCACGAAGTTTATTAAATCCTTTGTATATGTTAGTCGTGACCGCTACAAAGAAAAAGAAATGCAAATGAGTTAAAACGAAAGGAGCTAAACAAAGGCTTGTAACGATATGCTGTTAATGACGAAGCCAGCTCATTCTACTTTCTGCTAAGAAAAAATCATCAGGATTCCGAATGGTAGTTTTAAACACAAAACCATATGCAGAAGTAGAATAAAAAAAAGGATAAATCTTTGAGGGCCATGCATTCAACTTCATTAAGCATCGTTTGGAGGTGACTGAATGCATATGTGGCTTTTGCAATGACTCGCTGTGGCCTTCCGATGAATCGAGCCAGCGCTGCTATCAACCCAGATAAAAGTCGGACCAATTTGCCGACCCCTGAGGGATGGAAGGCTTAGTGGGCCAGGAGCGAGGGGATCGATCCCATGTGTGTGTTGCGCGGCGCTTCCCACCACTGCGTCACATGCTCCCTACAGAAGTAGAGAACTCGCAAGTGTTACCAGGAGAAGTAATTTTCGTGACTTTTTACCACCTACAAGATCCTCAACTTTTCCTAGCTATATGCCGTCTTTTGCGAACCGCTTCACTTTCCATAAGACTCGGCTCTGAGGAAGGCGAAATCCGCCGAAACGTCAGCTTATTCGTGAATAAAGAATAATAACACCTCGCGTTTGCTCAACAAAAATACGAAGAATTACTTGATCAATGCCGAGGTTAATAGAAAGTCGGTCGTGGGAGTTACTCTTATTGATGTTCCCCAGCAATAGTCTAATTCAAGCTTCTTAGAAGACAAAAATCAATTGGGAAAATGACCTTGAACTTCGACTGCTCCCATGAACGACGGCAGATCGACCAGGTGTGACAAGTAGAGCTCGGTCGCGGGGAATCCACGAACCGCCACATATCAAGTCATGTCTGCATCTGTAGAATCGAGGATAAATTATAATAAAAAGAAATTTTCATTGCTTTCCTTGGATACACATAGCTAGATGCATGTGAAAGCACCAAATTTCTTCACCCAGAAGTCTATTACTTTAATTAAACTAGGAGAAAAAAAGCCCCAATAGTATAAAAGGTGCAATACCCGAACTGCAAGGAAACCTTCGTTTGAACCAGATAACAGATTAAAAACATCTCCCATCGAGAAAATTACAACTACCGACATAAAAATAGTATGGCAAATGGGACATATGCCCGTTATTGGAGTTCGGTGAATAGTTTCCGTTAACGCAAATGTGGAATGGGATTCGTCCTCATTCTTCAATATTACCATCTATCCATTCCTTCCAGTAATTCGCTTTTACATGGGAAATATTCCTGTTAAAGTGTAGTGGTACATTAGATATGATTACCAACTTTTCATAGAACCAGCTCAGTTCGTCAACTATATGGATACCGAGCACATTCGTAGGAAAAACATGAAATTATTGCCCATAACGGATCAGTGTTCCTGTTAATTCACCATCATTCTGTGGGAAGCGGTTTTTTCAAAGATGAGAGAGGAAGAGAGAGATATAGGAAGGGCGAAGAAAGAGAAAGAGGGGCGGTAGAAAAGTAGGAGAGAAAAGAGACCAAGAAAGAGGGAATGGAATGAAAGGTGCAAAAAGAGTGAGGAAGAGAGAGAAAGACTAAAAAGAAAAAAAGTGGAAAAGAAAGAGAGATGGAAAGCGAGAAGGAGAGAGAATCGAATTAACAAAGGTAACGTACCTCGCAGCTCGTGTATGTGCCGGTTGGAAAACACGATACCAGGTGTCTTCTGACGGTGGAATGGGTCCAGCACGATGTCTTCTAAAAATACAAGGAGGCATTGAACATTTCGAGAAAAAAGGGAGAGATAAAAAAGAACTGAAGAATCGAAAAAGATATAGAGGAAAGAAGGAAGAAAAAAGAAATGAAGTTAAACTTTTTCCTATCCAATAGATATTGGGATAAACGTCATTCAGTTCCTTAAAGATGGTTTACAATGATAATGTTGTATACGGTAGCGAGGTTTCTTTTCCTAAGGAACATCAGCACTGATGGGAACGTAAACGTTGTCACGACCGTACCTTGCCGTAACACATAATAATCCGATAGTGATCATACAGAAGGAAAGGCCGCTTAGTGTAAGACGAGAATTCACGGCACCACGTCGCTTCGCCGGAATTTCACATTCTCGTCCGGAACTTGGATCGCACGTAGCGCACGACAATCCCATATAACCTAAAAGTTCCAAACAAAATAAAGGAGAAAGCGCATAAATCCTTTTGCGTTGATCAATGCCTTAGGCATATGGTATAGATTTCAGCAGCATTGCAAAGATGAACGAATGCATAACTGGCCCACACAAAGACTTGCATGGGCTTACCGATGTGTTAATTGAGTATTTCACCCAAACAGGTTTGTACCAATTTGTCGACTACAAAGGGTTGGAAGGCTCGGGTTACTTGGGGCGAGATTGAGCCATAGACCACACTTGTATCTCTAACCAATACGCTAAATATGCTTATATGGCTATTATTTTAACAAACACAAAGCATCATTGGGAAATTTTGGGAGATTACGATATTAAAGTTCCATAAACTTCGGACCACGACAGATTATGTAGGAAGAGACGCTGTGTAGTTTTGGTTGTGGAAATGGATACAGAGTGAATAATTCTTTTCAAAACTTTTCTGAGCACAGTCTCTTAACTTAAATGATGCTGAGATATTTGCAAAAGTCCGGACGGCAGGTGTCTGCGGTGGGGAGCGAACGCGCTATTACCGCTATTAGTAGTATCTTAGTTTAAAATGTTTAACGTTTTGTTTTCTGCCTTCTATAATTTTCATGGCAGGTTACTAAGCGAAATACAACCACAACGTTGCTGAGATATTTGCAAAACTCTGGACCGCAGGTGTCTATGGTGGGGAACGAACGCGCTATTATCCTTTCCGGGGAGTAACGCGTTCACCACCACACAAAGGACCCGCATGGTGTGCGCATGCCAAGGCAGAAAACAAAACGTTAAACATTGTGATTTCAACTACAGCCATAGCTTAACTGGGTTCTATGCCGATTTGCGCTCCCCAGATCAACCCCGCTGACGGGTGATTGCTGTGGCAAAAAGATCGATAGAAATAGCTGAGAGACGTGCGAAACAAAGGACCCGCATGGTGTGGTGGTGAACGCGTTACTCCCCGGAAAGGATAATAGCGCGTTCGTTCCCCACCATAGACACCTGCGGTCCAGAGTTTTGCAAATATCTCAGCAACGTTGTGGTTATCTTAGTTTATTTTCCATTTTATGTGTCTATTATAAAAGATCTATTAGGAAGATGAAACCACGACTCTTTTGCGTTTTCTCCCCGAACAGAAAGCTATCATTCAGACTAACCTTCTTTACACCTGCATCGGCCGTCGACCACATAACCTTCTACACACACCAAATCGCAGGCTTTTCCAAATAGGCGTCCAGAACAAACACATTCACCTAAAATTTAAAATATTGTTGTTTCCACAGACAAAAAAAACTTCGCGGGCTCTGGACCATCATTCATAGTAGTGAGTATATTTCCATGTGCACCAGCCTAACACAGAAGAATTAAGGATAGAGTTCTTGTCGACAATTCAATATCTGAGATTTGCGCCATAATTCCAACTTTATAATGCACTACAGGTGATTGCATCCATATCTGACCTATACAATGGGTTGCGGTTGCTCACCAATGTATCAATTAAGTATGTTTACCCTCTAAGACAAGTGTGGAACCAATCTGCAAACCATGGAGAATGGATGGCTTGCTGAGTCTCGACGCACGATCAAATCAATGACCATGTGTATATCACAAGAAACCTCTAACCACTGCGTTACACGAGCCCTGCGTTAAAATTAGAGCAATAGTAGATTTTCACTGCGCTAAAGAAGTTTTTTCTACCATTTTTATCTCATTTTACATGATCTGTCATCACATCTACTGTTCGAATCTCAGCATTTCTTGAGCTTGATTTGTTTTCCTCGCACTCGTCCGCCACAACGGCCTTCGAAATTTCGCATATTGTTACAGTGCTGCTTGAGGATTTCACATGAATGTCATAGGATTCTCGTTGAGCCGATTCGCTTTGAAATCTTGAAGACAGCCGGACTAAGGTGTTTCTACGTTGAATGGAGGAAAGCGTGGGGCGCGGATCGAACTATGACATTCACTTCCTGACCGATGCCATCACTAATTACTTCGCAATCCCTGCCGCTAACTTGCTATTAAACATCTTCGATCTAAAGTACTAAATTTCCTGGGTTTGCTGGCATATATGGTTCAGAAGTGGTTCAAAGAGTTCTCAAGGTTACTGATATTTAACAAACTCAGTAAAACCACAACGTTTAACTTTTCACTTACTTGCTACCATTTTTTCATGACAGGGTATTATTTCAAATACAACCATAACGATACTGAGATAGGAGCCTCTGTGGCATAATGTGTAATGTGCGAGCCCTCGGAAAGGGTAAACGTGGTTCAATGTTTACTCTTTTATTTACTGTCTATTACAATTTTCACGACAGGGTACTACGCGGAATCAATCACAACGATGCTGAGATATTCGCAAAACATGGACCCATGCCAAATTCATTCCTGGGTTCATGTGTTACATACTGCAGAGTCCAATCTGCCCAACGCTCCAAGTTTTGCAAATATCTCAGCATAATTGTAGTTTTATCAGAACTCAGTCAGTTTAACAAAGAGATATCGATTCAGTAAATCCATACAGAACTTGAAAAGATTGCAAAGAGATTAGGATTAACACTGAAATCCTTGAAAGCCTAAAAAAAGCTCAAAGGCTATATGTTCAAGTAGATTAAATACTAGGGAAAATACACTACTTACTACCAAAACAACGAAAAATCACTCTGAAACTTAAAGAAACACTGAGTTGACATCGGAAATGGTTTATACTTCTATAAGCTCTTTCCATCTCAACGGCTCATCGCCTCATCGTGGATGGAAGATGTTCCTGGGTGGTCGGACTGCGCGATGTACGCAATGTACAACAGGCGGGGGGTGTCATCATTCTTCCAATAGGGTCACCCAAGCTTAGAAGAAGTCCGACGTTTCAAGAAGCCCAGCTAAAAGTAAACCAATACCAGGATCCACCAACGTCCTGGTATCAAACTAGTCTATATAGTAGCAAATATCCCTCTGATCCACAAGGGAAATGACTATCTGTGGTGCTGATGACCTGGAGCAGACTTTGGCCTCAAGACCTCAGGTAACCACAGTGGTTAAACCAGCAAAACTCCGAAACAACAGAAGTTATGCAGAGGTCCGCACAACCAGTGAAGATAGGCCATCCATGTATCACAAGTAAGTAAGTTACCTCTATCAGTGGCAGTATAACGGCTTTCCATTGAAATATGAGCACAACCAGTACCGTAAACAGTCATCTCAGCAACGAAATCATAAAGACTCGGAAGCTAACCAATAGTAACTTACAAATTACACAAGTGAGAAGCTCCAGTCCGGCAAAAAAGGGAATTTCATGGCACAATCGATAAGCACGTCTTTGTCAAATCGAACCGCAAAAATCAAAGCATATTTGTTATATGACTTTATCTATCTTTTTTTCTTAGAACTTAAATGTTAGTCTTGAAGACATTTAAAACATAGAGTAAAGAAGCCCGTCCGTGAATTTCTCCTAAAGTGGTCTCCTTTATCTCACTGTAACCACTATATGCAATGAATTTAAAGAAATCTATCGATTTGCATGGTTATTGATTGTTAGGGAACTAGATGAATTCGCTGTCGAACAACTCACCTGTCGTCAGATTCACCCATCCATGGCAACGCGACTCGCAGTGGTCACCAACGTAATCAGCTTCGCATATGCATCGACCTTCTTCTTCTGAGTACTGCCCGAATTTTGAGCATATCTAAAATCTCAATTTTAACTTAATATTTACTGCCTACTCTTTTCAATGGCAGGGTATATTGCGAAATACAACTTCAATGGTGCTGAAATATTTGCAAAACTCCGGATCGCAGGTGCCTGCAGTGGGAAACGAACGCGCTACTACCCTTCATAGAGGCTGACGCGTTCACCACCACACCATGTGGGCCATTCGTTTCGCCTATCTCTAGAATCTTAAACTCCGAAAGAGATCACCTTTACAAGTTTCACTGACATATGTAAAGTTGATTGAAGTTTTTTGTGCAGTATCGAGACATAACTTATGTAATGTTGTCGTAGGAAAACAGAGGCTATAACAGTAAACCCGATTGATTAAGGATTCGTGAGTGCGACATTTGCCAACTTTCCGTTAGCAAAGTGCTTCCGTTTTTATCCTTAATTCTTATATAACAAAATTGTGTAAAGTGGACAATCGAAAGAAAGATATTGACTACATATTCAAGGTATTTTATGTAACTTCGTATTTTCCTTTCTTTTAGTTTGCTTTGTGCCACGAAAATAGCTCACGATGAAACCAAACCAATGAGATCAGTCATGAGGGAAAATCGTTACAAAAAAACCGATTTGGTGAAAATAATCGGGTTGTGTGTTTCCCACTATTTCGTACTGGCTGGTATTAAATGTGATCATAATGGTCGCATCCTTACAACTACCACTCACAGTTTCGATTTTTTTTTTTTAATATTGTAGGAACCTCTCCCAACGGTTTTCCGCCTCGTCATGGCTGGAAAGTGTTCCTGAGCTTCGAGCTGCAATGTACAGTGGCAAAACTCATTCCCACAGTAGAGTCTCCCAAGGTGAGGAGTCCGGCGCCTCTTTTAGGAAGTCCACCTAAGAGTAAACCAATATCAGCATCCACCACCGTCCTAGTATCAAACCAGTCGTATGGTGGCATACGTCTGCTTCACAAAGGCGGCGACTGTCTGTGGTAGTGACGGCGTGGGGCACACTTTGGCTAGGCTGACCTTGGCACTCAGGAGAACCACAATGGTTAAACCGGCAAAACCACGAAAAAATAAAAATTATTCGAAGCATTCCTACAGTAATCTATTTAATTGCATGATGTGACATCACAAATTTTGAGAAATTCAGAACTCTCATTCGGTTCATGGACCATCGACTCGGATCATCGGCTCTGAGGAAGACGAAGACGTCGAAACGTTAGCCGAAAATAAATTAATATCATTATCAACCTCGTGTAAGCTCATCAAAGAAAGAATACATATTGATTAGTGGTACCGAGGTTCAAGGAAAGTCGGTTTCGAAATATTTCATTCGGTTCGTTGACCGTCGTTACGCACAAAGTTCCTCGGATTTGCAAGTTCTTCCAGCGCTTGAGAACTTTGCCTTTTTCACGAAAGTCGTTGGATGCTGCCCATGCTGATTCTTTATAGAATCCTGGAATAGCTAAACCAGAGCGTTGACAAGTCTTCACGACAAACATTCGCCAGCATCTGCGAAACGGAGAATGAAGGACTTGCTTAGCTTAGAGCGTGGGTCGAACGGATGAAGCACCGTGCATTGTAGGGCACCTCTAACCATTGCGGTGCTCATGGCTATATTCGTAAATAGCGACTGTTTATTCAGTTTAACCTACATCACGACAGAGATAGGGAAAAGGTGAAATATTCGCACCCACAAACTTGAGGAAGATGCTCCTATTACGGTAACTCTTAGCCCTTGGGAACAGAAGAGTCGTAGTGAACTGCAGGTTCTGAAGTTGATTCTATCAACAGAAGTGAGGTAATTCAAGCGATGAATCCCCTTAATAAGGCGATTCTGGAAAAGATTTTGGAAAAAAATCGAAAGAAGTGCCGTAGACAAGAAAACCAACACTTGTGAAACTCGTAAACAAACGCTACCAATACGAGCTTTTTGTTAGCAGCTGGTAAGTTCTTCCATCAAAAAATTTCAGTTCACATTTCAGGAGACTTTATCTCTTTCAGAACACGAAAAGGACGCCTTCACGAGCAGATACCTGATGAAGTCAATAATTTTGGAACCGACCGTCACTTAACCTCGGTACTATAATATTCAACATTTGTTTATATTGTTGAGCTTACATGAAACTGATATGAGATGTTTAATCGGTTAACGTTTCGACGTCTTCGTCTTCATCAAAGCCGACGATCCTAGTCGATGGTGCACATTTGTTCTTCATTTTGATGTGGTGTCTTCACTTTGCATAGAACCGGATCTTTCTCAGTTGAGCATCTCGAATCGAGATGAGATGAAGACGCCACGTAGAGAAGAGAAACAACCGCGGACCCTCGACAAGGATCGTCGGCACTGATGAAGACTTGATCAAATGTCTGAAAATTCAAGCAAACACCTGTAAGAAGCAAATGTAGTATAATAACTATTTTTTAACCAATTCAGGCAACAGCAACTAAGGACTAGTTGCTTCTGCATTGGATCACCAAAAACGGGAGAAATTCCAGGACACCAGTGTTGTTCTTTGCAAGGATCTATCAAAGAAATGTGTAAAATCCGGTTTTTTGGCTCCTACTTAAAAGCTGTAAGAATATTTCATATTTAATAGAACTTGAAAAGGACCACCTCAGTTAAATACTGAGATTAATTATTGATCAGCAAGAATTGAATAATCCCGGAACTGCTATCCTGATTCTATCTTGAGCACAATTTCTCAGGATGCTATAAATACCCAACTATCCACATACTATAGCAGTGAATTTGAAATGTAAGGCAGCAATAAATTTCTTATTTGCATTTTTAGCAACCTGTCCTGGTCATCTTCTCTTTAAAAACCAGGGTTAACCTACTTTCTATTTTTTTTTTTATTTATTTCATTATTTTATACGACTCGTCTTGAATACGAGTCCACTGTGCAGATCCCAGCACTTCTCACATTCAATTCGTTCCCTCTTATCTATCACCTACGAAGGACTTCGTACTTTTACGTGTGGCTTCACTCGCTGCTTGAGGATTTTTCATTTCATCTTGAATGTCGTAGACTACAAGTCTAGTTGCTTCTTTCTGGAGCTCTGAGATAATCGGGCTGGAGCGTTTCCAAATGGACTGCAGAGAAAGGTTCTTTCCCGGACACGTCCGGTATCAATTTCTCGACTCCGGAAGGATGACAGGTTTGATGAACCTGGGGCGGGATCGAACCAGCACCGTGCTAATGGCGATATTTACTTTTTAGTCATTTTTTATTTATTAAGAGTGATCAGTTTTGGTGACCGCTGGGCCGTTAACACTTAGATATGAAACGAATGTTAAGCAGACTTCTGAGTTAATTTCTATCTGTTACTCTACTCGCTGTCAATTTAGTGATGATGGCAAACACCTGTGATTATTTGCTAGGATTATAAAGGAGTAGTACAGTGGTTAAAGATGTCCTAGTACAAAGAAGTGGTCGTTGGTTCGATCTCGTCCACCACGGAACTAAGTGCTTCATCCTTCCGATCGACAAATTAATTCCAAACTTGTATCAGAAAAGAAAAGCACGGACTTGACATAATATTAGGTCCACATAAGTCACTGTATAGGTCAAGTATGCATTCAGTCACGTCTACGACGGTATGAATGGAATCAAATCCACACGGTATCCTTAACAAATTGACCGACGCCGCACACTTAACGTTTTCTTTCATCGTTGGCTCTTATCCCGTACAGAATCGGTCATAGCGGTCTGACGTTGAAGTACCCACCGGTCGTTCACAATGCTTTCCTGTGTAGTGATGAAGACAAATGCAAACTCCGTCAGTTTCGTTGAGGAATCCGCCATTTAAGCACGGCGACGACCGTTCAGCTGAAATGGAATATCATCGTAAACGAAGCAAATAGTGCTATAAATCACGTTAGGAGTTGATCTTGAATTAAACTGGAAAGAGTTAGATGGGTGGCTGCAGTTGGCATAGTTTACATAAGTTATGAAAAATAGTCACTGAGCGAAGGAGAGATAAATTATGCGCAGAAAAACGAATATGAGTTATTAGAAACAATTATAAAATACTATAACTGCCACAACGATGCTGAAATATGTGCAAAACTCCAGACCGTGGGTGTCACCGGTGGGGAACGAACTCGCTATAACCCTTTCCGGGGGCTAACGCGTTCAGGACTATAACTGCCCTTCGAGAACAATAATATTCAAGTAAAGCTAAACGCATTTAATCTCTTTATTAGCTACTAAGAAAATTCTCCCATCGATTAACATGTATGAAAACTAATGGAGCTAAAATGATAACTGTGGTAGCCTAACGATTAAAGTTGGAAATTTGGTCTGGAAAAAACTCTCACGATGGTCTCCATCTTTAATGTTCTCCATTGATTCCGTGATTTCGTGGCCGTCTAGTCGAAAAGTTCGCATGTGATGAGCGTCATCGATCAGTGGCGGAAGTTCCTAAAATATCACCAGCTGTACTTTACAAATTTTTTCTTATAAAAGTGTAATCATCGCTATTCAATGAGCTAGGTAACAACTAGTTAGTGATAGCTTCGTGGCATTACGATTTCCTCTAGTTCTTAGCTAACAATTAAACAAAAGACTCTCCTGCTTTGGTAGCTCTCAGAAAAACTTGAAAAAACTGTTCTGAACAAACTCTTCTCTATCCAAACCCTCAAAATCTGCGACTGTTCCTAATGCACCACTGTGCTCTTTCCATGAAACGGAAGCTTAGACTTCATCTTTATAGTGCTAGACGGAATAAAAACTAGGACAAAAATTACACTATAATGAATTTTACAGTCGCAACGATGCTGAGATATTCGCAAATCTTATAGAAAGCCAGGTGAGAAAAACGCAAAGCAAGGGCCTACGCGGTGCAGTGTGTAATGAGCGACCCCCCGGAAAGGGAAACAGTGGTTCGATTTGGCTCTGGGTACAAGTTTTGCGAATATCTCAGCATCGCTGTGGTTGTGAGCGCCAATGACAAAATGTGATTTGACAACAGACATTATTCTCACAAGCATAATGATGAGTAGGTCTCAAAATGAAATTTATTAGAACCAGTTCAAGGGAAGGACCGTATGCAAGAAAGATTTTTGTTAAGAGTTCGAATATGTGATGTTTACGGGAAAAGGAAATATAGGCAAAGAAAACAGTACAAAAACAGTAGTAGAAATGATGGGTTGTCTCGATGACAGTCAGGATCGACGAGGTGAATGAGTCCTTGGAGAACTTATTTCAAAAAAGCATACGTTCTACCTATAACTCGAACATATGATGTGTATGTAGGAGCGGAATAAAGGTAAAAATAACATAGTACAAAACAAATACATAAATCGTGGGTATTGTAGGCAAAAGCCCAATGGCGTCGTCTGGTTAGTCATCCGACTGTAGCTCTCGATTCGACGATAGATAGGATTGATAAGGTGAATGAACGTTTAGAGATTTCATTTGAAAAAAAAACCGAACATTTCAAGTACCTGCTAAGTGATGGTTTCTAACTAATTATCTCTAGTAGTTTGCAACACCTTTGTTATTTTCAAATTTCCTAAGGTTTATAGCACGCGTGTCCTCAAGTGTGGAAAATCAGTGGGTGACCAGGTAAGCCGTGAAATGGAAATGCCTGAAGACAGAAAACCGTTGAAAATAATAGAGAAATGCTTTCTGCCTGCCAAGTTACACAGTAAATTATTTAATGTCAGCTGATGAAACGCTGGAGAATTGCGTTGCTATAGGTTATCGTGTGGCGCATGTGGCGCAGTGGTCGCAGGCGCACTGCAACACGAACGTGGAACGATCCCCGGGCCCATGGGCCACCAAGTTTTCCATCCCTCCGGGGTCGGCAAATTGGTACTAGACTTGTCTGCGAGGATGGCGTCATTGGCTCGATACATCGGTAGGCCACCCCGAGCCATTGTAAAGGGCAGATATGCATTCTATTACCTCCAAACGATGCTTAATGAAGTCGAATGCATGGCGCATCCCTCAGGGAACGATCAACGCCGAGCCTTTTCCCTTACTTACAGCACAGTTGAGCTCATATGAGGTAACTTTAGAGACCTTGCAAAATCAAAAAACCGTTTTGTATTGGTGAAAAAAGGAAAATGAAGAAAATACGGGAACTCACCCTTTGATGAGATGAATTTGGCATTAAACTAAATATGTAAATCAAGGCGACGACGAGTATGAGCAGTAATGGTCCTACCCATAAGCGACTCGATTGTGACGACGACATTCCAGAGTAGATCACTCTAAAGTTATTAATTCGATCAACATAATAATGAGAGTTAAGTAGCAAACAATTGGAGTAGAATAACTGCTGAAAGAAACCAGGTTTAGTGATATATGTACTCATAGCAATGGCTGAGCATAGACGGGATGGATGATTAACTGTGGAAATAGAAGTCATTTGGATTTGTCATTTGTCATTGAGTCCACCAATAAATTATGAGAAAGAAGAGTTCTATAAGGTGAGGCAACTTCCCTAAAGGCTTAACGCCTCATTGTGGGTGGTAGATGTGCTTTGGTAACCAGCTGCAATGTGCATCGCGAAGTTCATTCTAACAACAACAGCAAGCACCACGCAGAGAAATGCGACGTTCGCGCTACGAAGCACAACTAAGTTTAAACCAACGATGGGTTAGGAAGCACAGCTAGGTGTAAAACCACGCAACGGAAGATCCAAGAAAACTATTCATGGCTATTTTTGCGCCAGGAACAACAGAAACAGGGGACAATACAAAGATGTGGTGCGCGTTGTCCCCTTTGAATATGATCAGATCTAGCTTGCCACATTGACGTGATTACGGCTGGAGAATTCAGAGGTGTCTGCTCGAGTACCTCATTGGCTCACAGGTTACAGGTGAAACGAAACAGGTAAAGAAATGGATGATTGCGTAATGCGTTAAATCGACATCGATTACGGAGTTAAATAATCACAAGGATTCCTAGAGCTAAATAAACACTAACCGTGTTATGGCCATCCCAGGTTAAACGACGCTCAACATGCTTTCACACTTTCAAAGAGGATACAGAATGAAGACGAACAAGGCAAACCCGGACGCGCACATAAACCTAACCACTTCAATGGACAAAGGTTGCAACAAAACGATATGGATGGTAGAACTGTTGAGGCCACCAACTGTTGAGGATGAGAAAGCCGAGACGTTGGTGAAAAAACTCCCGGCGTTAATCGATCCCTGACAGATCTGCCAATCAAGTTAGTTCATCAAGCACCGCTAGACGTGGACGAATGTATTTCTGGCGTATACAATTACATTTGGTAGCCTAGCGATCTACTAATTCAGCGCTGCTATCCCCCCGGACAAGTCTGGTACTCGATTCTAGTTCGATGGAATGCTTAGTGAAACTGGGGTATAGGATCGAACCAACGACCACGTGTGTACTTAACAACACCTTTACCTATTGCGTTACACGCGCCCTAGACGGCATTATCCAAATAATGCTGGTCCTTTTAATCATCCCAAAAAGAGCCAAATATGAAAAAAGTGAATAAGGGAAAAGTAAGGCTGACATCATTAATTTCTACACGACAAACAGGAAAAATTATGAAGCACTACTGAAATATTTACACCACTTTGAAAGACTCTGCTGAAGAGAAGGATAAAAACGATAGCCTTTCAATATGAAATGATCATAAAGTAATTGCTCATTAGGCCATGCATGAATTGTGCAGACTCCGGCATAATTTTCGCTCGTTTGCTTTCCTTGCCGTCATCATCCATTCACGTAAATGTCATCACCAGTAGCTAACAAGAACCACGAGTCACTCTTTTGTTGACTCATAAATCGAACCCAGCAACTTATAACGGCTCTATCTAAGATCAACAAACTATCCACCTCTCCCGAAACCTTTAAAAACAATTTAAGTGTGTCACTCAGATTTAACCATAGCTAGCCATACTTCTGTCCGTTTGCGAAAAAATAAAGGAAATACAGGAAAGTGGAAGACGACAGACAAATACATATAAAATCCAGTTCCTAATGCATTACGGTCGTGAATGAAAGAGTCAACTCTTTTTTCAGTTTCAGGGTAGAAGTCTCGGCGACATGAGAGTTCTTGGGACGGCCTGTGAAAAAGAGAATCGAAATAGATTCTGAGCATGAATATGTTATTTTGTTAACTAAATAAAAAGTGGAGAGATTGTAAATTGGACACGATGACCCGAAAACTCGAAAAAATTTTTTTCGATTTTGAAAGAATAAACAAAACGAAGACGCCACATCGAGATGACGAAGATGACGAACAACTGTGGAACACCGACCGACTCGAATCATTGCCTCTGATGAAGACGAAGACGTCGAAACGTTGGCCCAATAAACCTTATTACCAACCCCGTGCAAGCTCAACAATATAAACACATGAATATCAACTAAGTTATCACAGAATGTTGAACAAATGAATAGTCACGTTCATTTCGGCTTACCACTATTAGTTGCACATTCGAACATCCATACATTGAACAGAATGTGAAGATGAGGTATGGCAACCAAACCTCATCAATCAAAGAAGAGAAGACAGCTGTGTTCTGAAGTCAAGGTCTAACTAGACAAACGGTAAAGTGGTATAAGAAAGATGGCATGTTGAAATTGAACTTATTGGAAGTACCGAACAATGAGGTAGAAAAGAAAACTCTAAATGATCATGATGAAAAGGCAATGCTCAGCTAAGTGTGATTCGGGACAGACACAGTAGTCGATAGAGATAAAGAGAAATCGATTTGAAAAGCATGGAAAACTGCATAAGAGAAAGAAAGGATAAAAATAAAGCTCTCGGCGTTGATCAATCTCTGAGGGATGCGCCATGCATTCGTACTTCATTAAGTATCGTTGGAGGTGATTGAATGCATATCTGGCCTTTACAACAACTCGCGATGGCCTACCGATGTATCGAGCCAGTGCTGTTATCCTTCCAGACAAGTCTGGTACCAATTTTCCGACCCCGGAGAATGGAAGGTTTGGTGGGCCATGGGAGCGGGGATCAATTCCATGTGTGTGTCGCAGTGGCGCCTCCAACCATTGCGTCACACGCGCCTCTAAGAGAAAGAAAGGAATTTGAAAAATAAATCGAATAACAAGGAAAATAGGAAACATTATAAAATATATGGTTAAAGGATAAAGGATAAAGGATAGAGGATACAGCTCTCAGCGTTGATCAATCCCTGAGGGATGCGCCAAGCATTCGACTTTATCAACCGCCGTTGGAGGTGACTGAATCCATATTTGGGCTTTACAATGACTCATGGTGGCCTACCGATGTATAAAGTCAGTGCTGCTATCCTCTCAGACAACTCTGGTAACAATTTGCCGATCCCGGAGAGATGGAAGGCTTGGAGAGCCGTGGGCGTAGGGACCGATCCTTTGTGTGTTTTTCAGGGTGCAACGGACCACAAACGTAAGCTTCAGGAAAAGTTGGCAGATTTTCTATGGATTTCTAGTAAAGTTTGCCACCGCACTCCAACAGTGAAAAATATACGCTTTGGTGGGTGATGAATAGTGCCGGAATAAGCATTTAGAATAGTGGCATAGTCGTGCCGACAGAATGTCGATATTGTCACAACCACAAATTTGTAAACAGAAAGAGGAAAAGAAAAAAAAACAAATGTAACTACAACAACTAGATATCCGAAGTCATAGTGATAGCGATAAGGATGACATGACTGGTATGACACTAAGGCATTTCGGGCCAACATCATAGTGCAGGTTGCGCAGTGGTTAGAGCTGCCCCACAAAACACGGCTGGCTGGATAAAAAAATGAATCCATGCATCAATAGGTTCTAACAAGTCATTTAAGGTCAAATATGCATTCAATCACCTCCTCTGCGCTACGAATGGAGTCGATCACATGGTGCATTCTTCAGCGATTTACCAACGCTCGGCTCCTAGTCATTGTAATCCCTACATATTTGTTCGAATAGGTCTCATACATCTTGTTTAAAATCCTTGATTCTCATATCCTTAGTAGCAGACCAGCCATCGTCAGCTCTACTGAATACGTTGTGAAAAAAATTTACGGTTGAACTCGCACGAAACTTAGGAGACTACAATGAAGGAATAAAACCGCCGCTGCAGATTGGGGTTTGAAACCTTGAAGCACACCGACCTTTGGTGAGATGGTGAAAAACTGCTTTGTAGATAGCCAGGGTCATATGGGCACTGAATCAGGGCAGACATTTCGGGAATTCGAACGTCAAATATCGCGAACGTTTTCAGTGGATGTGTAATGAAGAAAAATGACAGAAGACAGTGACATTAGAGGTGAAAACAACAAAAAACTTATGAAGACCGATAGAATTCCCGAATAATTAGGCGAAATGAGGAAACGAATCAGACAAAAAACATTGACTGTGAAATGAATGATACAAGTCCTTAACGTGAAGCGGGAGATGATTTACGATAGGAGATCCTCATATTTCAGATGAATTCTACAGTAAGCACTTGTCCCTAACGTTGAATTTCCAGTTTTCGTATAAACAATTAGAAAAGAAGGATAGAAAACGAAAGGAGAAGTACAGTTATGTAATTCGTCATCACTGCACCTTTGCCGATCACAAGGTAACCACAGAAAGTAAGGTAGACCTACTTAGTCATCAAAACGAACCAGACTGAGACCATTAAAGGATAAAGCTCTCAGCGTTGATCAATCTCTGAAGGATGCGCAATGCATTCGTACTTTATAAAGTATTGTTGGAGATGACTGAATACATATCTGGCCTTTACAGTGACTCGCGGTGGCCTACGATGTATCAAGCCAGTGCTGCTATCCTCCTAGACAAGGCTGGTACCAATTTACCGACTCCGAAGGGATGGAAGGCTTGGTGGGCTATGCGCTCGGGGATTGATTCCACATGTGTGTTGCAGGGTGTCTCCGACCACTGCGCCACACGCGCCCTTGGTTACTATACTATTTATTTATCCATAAACAATATAGTACAGTATATTTATCCACAAACAGTATAGTAATAGTCTCGTGTGTGCTCATCAAGGAAAGAGCGAGTGATTAATCAATACAGTGGTTAATGGAAAGTCATTCTTGAGAATAAGACAGTAGTGTACCATCTATGAAATTTCTCAAGGACGAGATAAAAATAGAAAGGAATCACACACAGAAATCAAACCCATCTGAGGAAGTGGATGGGTGGTTTGACAATAATTAAAGGACAACGAAGAAAGAAAGAAAAAAGTGTAAAGAAAAGAGGTTGTAGAATCATCCA